CTGGCAGCTGGGGCCCCCTTCTCCTCCCTCCTACCTGGCGCAGCCTGCTTCTGGGGGGCCGGGGACTCCTTTCCGCGGCCGCTCCCCTGGGCGGAAGGATCCGGATCGGGCTCCGCTTCGGCCCTCAGCGGCGGAGCGATCCGCCCCCCCCGCCTGCTAGCCCCGGTGATGCGGCTGCGGGCGGCCGCGCCCAGAGCCCGAGACGCACCAAATGAAAGGGGCGGGGGAGGAATGAGGGAGAAACCATCTACCATATAGAGGGGTGCTATGGAATGGGAGATAGGTCCACCGGGTGAGACCACCTTCCATATGAGGGGTGCTATGGATTCGTTTCTGCGGTGAGAGTGAATTCATCCTTTAATGGGCTAAACCAATTCACTTCCCAGCCTAGGGAGGTTGTGGGATCTGGAGATATTTAAGAGCAGGTTGGACAGACGCTTGTCAGGGACGGTCTAGAATGGTGCTGGGTCCTGCCACGAGGGTAGGGAACTGGTCTTTTCCAGTTCTAGTGTTCTCTGATTACATTCTATGAGTGTGAGACCATTTACTAGGGGGCAGACAGAGGTGGAAGAAACCAATGCACTTCAAGGGGGGAGGTGAGACTACCCACTGTATTTAGAAGGGGGCTAACAATAGGATACACCAAATCGATTCCGGGGTGACGTGAGACCGATGCTCCAATGAGGAAAAGGAGAAAATGACCCATACCAACTCTCTAGGGAGACCCATCAGAGCACCCCCCCCCCCAAGTAGGAACGGGAGATACCAACTCTCTCTGAGAAGGGGCAGGCAGGGTTCAGTCCTGGATGGGTGGAGAACAAGCAGGGGAGGTTTTTCATTTCCGCGAGACCAACTAATGAAAGCAGAGGGGAGAGATGAGTTGTACCAACCCTGATGTTCTCTGCAATGGGTCAGTCAAACTAGGAAGGGGGAATCAACTCGCAGTCCCCCCTGCTCTAACCCACCTGCCTCCCAGAGAACCCAGGAGCCCTGACTCCCAGCCCCCGCCCCTGCCCTGACCCATCAGCCCCCACTCTCCTCCCAGCAAACCAACTAATGAAAGCAGAGGGGAGAGATGAGTTGTACCAACCCTGATGTTCTCTGCAATGGGTCAGTCAAACTAGGAAGGGGGAATCAACTCGCAGTCCCCCCTGCTCTAACCCACCTGCCTCCCAGAGAACCCAGGAGCCCTGACTCCCAGCCCCCGCCCCTGCCCTGACCCATCAGCCCCCACTCTCCTCCCAGCAAACCCAGGCGTCCGGGCTGCCAGCCTCCCTTGCTCTAACCACTAACCCAGGAGTCCTGACTCTCAGCCCTCCCCTCCCCTCTGATCCACCAGCCCCCACTCCCCTCCTAGAACCAGGAGCGAACCCAGGAGTCCTGACTCTGAACCCCTCCTGAATTCCTGTACATCCTAGTTCAGGATCTGTCCCCTCGTCTAGGTGAATTTTGCTGTTTTGGAACAACCCAGGGCATGGAATTGCAGAGTGGGGGGAGGTTGAAAGGGGCTGGCTAGAGGAGGTGGGAGCATGTATGGTTGGATGAAGAGGGGCAGGGATGGATGTTTGGATAATAATTTTTGGAGAGGTACCTGGAGTAATTAAATAGAATGTGGGATCTGGTGGGTTAGAGTGGGGTGGAGGGCTGGGAGCCAGGACTCCTGGGTTCTCTCCCTGACTCTGGGAGGGGAATAATGCTTGCTACTTGAGAACTAACCCCCTCCCTAGACACTAATCACCTACCTGCCTCTTTAAGAAAACCCCAGATTATCACTTATTGTCTATTTTGTTAACCAATCAGGAGCTGCCTCGGTTGGGGGGGTGCAGCCTGTGATTGGCTGAGGTGGAAGCTCCCCTCTACGTCTCTCTCTATAGCCCCCCTCCCCTCCACGGTCGCTGTCCAGTCGCCTGGGTGCTGAATAGCCCCCTGCACCCAGCCTCCCCTACATCCCGGACCTCCCTCAAGGATCTGTACGGGGCAGGGGGCGTAGCAGAGCCAGGATGAGTGGGGGTGTCTATGGAGGAGGTAAGGGATCCTCTTTAAGGCTGCCCCCCTTTTTTCTTCACAGCATTGGCACGTGACCCACAGGGGGTGCTCTGCTGCAGGGAGGGGCTAGAGTCAGCAGGGGGTACTCTCCCCTTGGAATCAGGGCTGGCCCCTTTTCTTGGCGCATGAACATTAGCATCTGAGCAAATTCCAGATCCAGACATTGTCTGTTGGAGCGGGGATTGTCTGTGCCTCTGTGCAGCATTGCAGAGTGGTCAGTGCACCACCCCGGCAGTTGGCACATCTCAGTGCCAAGCAAGGGGTCCCTGTGTAACCAGCCACCCCGCTCCAGAGGTAGCTGCATCTCAGCTCTGAGTGAAGGGTCCCTGGATAACCAGATACACTGTCCCAGAGGTGGCCACATCTCAGTGCTGGGCGAGGGGTCCTTGTCCCAGAGGTGGCTGCATAGGTGATTGGTAGTGACTGTTTCTATCTCTCTCCCAGATGAGGTTGGAGCTCTTGTTTTTGACATCGGCTCATTTTCAGTGCGAGAGTGTGGTATGTGGCTTGAGCAATGTGACTATTTGGCTGGTTGAGTGTGGTATGTGGCTTGAGCAATGTGACTATTTGGCTGGTTGAGTGTGGTATGTGGCTTGAGCAATGTGACTATTTGGCTGGTTGAGTGTGGTATGTGGCTTGAGCAATGTGACTATTTGGCTGGTTGAGTGTGGTATGTGGCTTGAGCAATGTGACTATTTGGCTGGTTGAGTGTGGCTAGTTGTCTATAGCAGTAGCCCGTATAGTGCTTCAGAACTGGTTGGACACCAGGGCCCTATGAAACCCTCCTATTCTGGGGTTGGATGGGAACCAGCGCCCCCTAGAGGAGAGAAGCCCCATACTCCATTCCCTGCCCCCTTGAGCCAGCCAGTCCCTTGCCCTGGAGTCGGGTGGGAGCCGGTGCCCGTAGAGACAAGCCCTGCATGTCACCCTCTTGCCCCATTGCAGGCAGATTTCCCCACCACAGTGGGACTTTTGGCCCCGGAAGAGGCGGCGCTGGAGCTGGATGGGGAGAAGGAGAAGAAGCCAGGGAAGGTTTATTACATCGATACCAACTCGCTGCATGTCCCGCGGGAGAACACAGAAGTCCTGTCGCCCCTCAAGAATGGCATGAGTGAGGCTTGGGCTCCCGGGACTCCTCCCCTCCTACATGGGACAACCTGCTTTGCCCCAGCCACAGGGCCCCCCAGCCATGGCCCCTCAACCAGTGTCCCCACCAGATTCCCATGGCATTTTCCCCACACCCCCTGCTATGCACTGCCATGGTCCCTCCATCTGACCCACTGCTATGCCCATGCTGCAGACCCATCATACCCCACCTTGCCACCTACTGCCATGACCCCCCGCTGTGCCCACCACAGCTTATGTGCCCTTCTCTCTACCACTGGTGGCAGCCCCCCATGTGGTTTCCCTACTTCCTCGTGGGGCATATGGGCTAGTGCCACTTTAACTGACCCCCTTTCTCTGTCTCTTCTCCCTCCCTCTCCCAGTTGAAGACTGGGACTGCTTCCAGGCCATCCTGGACCACACCTATGGCAAACACGTGAAGTCAGAGCCAAGCCTGCACCCCGTCCTCATGTCTGAGGCACCGGTAGGTCTCCCTGTGCCTGGAGAACAGCCCCTGTA